GAGAGAGAGAGAGAGAGAGACTTATTGTATAGCAGGGCTAAGACAGAGAGAGAGAAGAGAGAAAGAGAGAGTGATGGGGTTTAACGTCCACTCGACACAAACTAGGTCATTTCGGGACTAACATGGTTTGATTTTTATTTCAATAATTCGCTTGCGCGTAGGGGTCTTTAGGAGTGGGAGGAAACCGGAGAACTCGGAGAAAACCCACTAGGTTGGACAGGCAACCCTACTCCTTGTCACGTACAACCGGGAATCGAAACCACGCCAGTTGACTTAATCACAGACCTTATGGTGCAGCGCACACACGCTAACCATTCGGCTGCCCCCGCCCCCCATCCCCCAAAACTAATATGAGATACAATTTCATTTCAATAATCGCATGCGCATAGAAGACTCGTGAACAGCCTCGATTTTAGGCAGTCGACAATACTTCTTGTCACGTACAAGTGTGGGATCGAAACCACGCCATTTATCTCATTGACAAACTCTAGACCATTTGGCAACCCCACCCCAGGACTTAAGATCTTCAAGTCTATCCAATAATTTGTACTCACCACAAATTTCATCAATATTTTTAAGATAAATAAAGTTGTGAATCCCTATGAGCTGCAATGCCAAACTGCGTCAGACCCCGAAATGCTAGAGATTTGACAAAGGAAGTTTATTAAAGGAGCTAAATCGATATTCTTTGGCACCTAGAAATTGACACAACTGGGTCGCAACGCATGTAATAATGTAATGTGGTATATGTTTAGCCTCGTCCATCAAGTCGCTTCATTACAAATGGTACTTGAAAGCATTCTGGCTTGCGATTTGTGTGCCAATTTTAAAAATTTCACTGTGTAACGTCCACTCGACACAAACTAGGTCATTTTGGGACTAACACATGGTTCAATTTTATTTCAATAATTCGTTTGCGCGTAGGTGTCTTTAGCAGTGGGAGGAAACCGGAGGACCCGGAGAAAACCCACGAGGTTGCACAGGCGATCCTACGCCTTGTCACTTACAACTGGGGGGTCGAAACCACGCCAGATGACTCAAAAAGGATATATATAATGAAGCCTCTATGGTATTCCATATGATAAAATTGTGATCTAAAACTAATGGTACGGGAACCCGTTTACTTAAACATACATTATGCAAGAGCTAAATCTGCCTATTGCAAGTCTTTCTTTAGGCTTCAGATGTTATAGAAATTATTAATTATACTTTTATTTACATGACAGGTTCAAAATCAACTCTGTAGACCCTCTGATGGCTTGGATACAGCATGGATTTAAACAGTCGTCCATTTAAAATTAAATCAAGAAATGACCGACCAAGCTAACGTTTACTATTAGTCACTGACGTCAATACCAGAAACTGGTGATGGAAGGCCTACCAGGCGAGGGTACCATAGCCATTGAGAATGTTATCGTCTGTCAATCAAACGATCGGCAATTCTCGTAAACGGTGCGGACACAGTTGATGCCTATTTCTAATCCAAACCTTTAACAGTTTCAATTCCGTTCGGAATAAAATAAATTGACTGAAATTTTCAATATTTTCTTTTTTTATCATCTATTTTTGAATGAGTATAGTAAGAATGGCCACTCTTTATTAAACTCATAACTTATGTATCTTTAATAATATATAAAAATTATATAAATATCTGAACGTTTAAAAGTTATAGTAAGAATGGCCAACTCTTTATTAAATTCATAACTAATGTATCTTTAATAATATATAAAAATTATATAAATATCTGAACGTTTAAAAATTCCTTTGTCAAATCTCTGAACGTTTAAAAATTCCTTTGTCAAATCTCTGGCTTTTCGGGATCTAATACAGATCGGCATTGCGTCTCATAGGGATTTACAGCTTTAGAAATTGTCGTTTCATATTAGATAGTGTAGAAAGGACCACGATAAGACGATAATGCTTTTAGCCATTGGTTGAGAAATAATAATGTATTCCGTTATTATGAAAAGTTTAAGGAGGTCAACACTGAAATGGGATTTGGCGTCTTTTCGTCACCAACTGGACTAATTAAGACGGACAGTTTGTTATGAGGGAACGTTGCACAGACATTGGCGCTACAGTCTATTCTTGTTCAACTTTACTGTCAATTTGCACGCCAGTTGGTTCACTGGGCTTTGTTTTTCGTCCTATCTAAATGACTAGACGATTGTTCTACTCAGGCCCCCACCCTGCAACCACGAACAAGGAGAAGCCACATCAGAAAATCACGAGGAACTCTTCTCGGCCAACAAAGGGAGCGAACCCGCTACCCCGTGGCTCCTGTTGTCAAACTACATCTTACCGGTATATAACCTGCTAAAACTAAATAATCGATTAATCTGTCATGAACAATCAAAAGATATAGTTATAGAAAAAGATGTAAATCGAATGCATGGACACTTATATACTGTAATGAGTGAAGACCCCCTACCTACCGACTTTACTGGAGCCATTGTTGTTCACATCTTCCTGTTCGCACTTACCGATAATAATGATTAGTTGAGTGGATACTGCATATAGAGGGTACTAAAGAAGGCATGGATGGAGTATATGCGGGTCAGACACAGGGTAATGACCACCACCGTACAAGTCTTGACCCTTTTAAGAAACGCTACCCCTCAAAATCATGCGCAAGTCGGTGGCGTGGAGCTACTGCCACCCTAAACTTAGATGGGAGTTTTTGGCATCCGGAAACCGGCTTTGAAAATGAACCCGTAACCTTTTTTCACCGTGACTGATGACATTCAAGGGAGACGATGAGTAGGGTGAGGCGGTATGATACTTTAAACTCGTAGGATATCGAGCTGTTAAAAATGTAATATAATATTATTTTGGAATAGTGATTCCCAACCCGTTTACACTAGAGGACCCCTTGAACAATTTACAAACCGTATTGTTAAACCGTATCAACAAAGAAATTCCTTCCCATTGAATTTGATACTCCTTACACCCACCCAACCTACAACACCGAAATCTCTTTCCATTGTATTACATAACCTCTTACCCCCAACCATTCCACAACAACGAAATATCTTCCATTGCAATACATAACCCCCTACACACACCCAAGGCACAAACACCTAAATATCTTCCCACTATATTACATAACCACCAACCACAGCACAACACCGAAATAACTTTGCACTGTGTTAAATACCCCTACCCCCACACAACATCAAAATACCTCCTCCTTGTATTAAATCACCTCTTACTCCCACCCAACCTACAACACAGAAATAACTTACCATTGTATTACATAACCCCCACCCAAACCACAATACCGAAATATCTTCCCATTGTAATACATAATCCCTTACCTCCATCACCGATAAACACCGAGATACCTACCCGTTGTATTAAATACCCCACCCAACCCACAACACCGAAATATCTTCCCATTATATTACTAAAACCTCTACCCCATCCACCACACAACACCGAAATACCTTCCCGTTGTATTAAATACCCCCTACCCCAACCCCAACCCCAATCCAACCCACAACATCGAAATACCTTCCCGTTGTATTAAATACACCCTTCTTTCCCATTGTATTACATACCCCTTACCCCCACCTACCGGACGTAAAACGCGAACAAACCAGTGATTGACTTCTTTGCTAGTTCTGTTGATTTTTATTTTATTGTGGTTGTCGCAAATGTGGCTCTGATATCAGCAACTGAAATTCACTGTCCGAATATCAACAACGTCATACTCAATTTTACTTCGCTATCATTCTTGACAAATCTACAAACTATTCTCTAAACGCCCCAAGGGGTTCGGGCATACCAGGTTGGGAATCACTATGGAAGCGTAGAGAGGTCAATAGCGTGAAAGATATCACGATATTAATATGGTAATATGTCTATATATTGTGATTGTTGCAATGATTTTATCACTCAAAAGACAGTTTTTGCCGAGTTAATTTTACCAACGCGTTATGTTGTATGTCGCCATTTCATTTCAAATGCGCACGTTTGCGTTATGATATTGCACTTCGGAAATTTTGGCAACACATTCCATTATCACCGTGCGCGATGTCGACATAAACTACCGCGAAATGGAGTAAGATGACAATGCTTCAGAATAGCAATATCTTATCGTAAACACGTACATTTAGAAGGAAATGACGGCACATGACACGGTGCATTGATTCAATTAACTCAGCGCAAAAATTGTCTTTTTTAGGGTTAAAATCATTTCAACAATCACAATATCTTGACATATTACCATATTAATATCGCGTTATCTTTCGTGATATTGACCCCTATACGTTTATGTCGAGAAAATAATTGAACGGAATACTTTACATTTTTTAAGACGACGATTTCGTTATCACGAATGATTAATGGTTGGAGAATTAAGGTCATATAAATAGCCTTTAAAATGTCAATATCTCAGTTATAGATATGGATTTCACTGCGTGAAAATTTGTATTACTACCATCTCTCGGCGTATCTAAAAACTATTATCAGGACACCACTAGGGTGTCACGGATCCCAGGTTGGAATCACTGATTTATAGGATCGCCATTCCAAACCATAAAACTGATAGCCGTGTTTATAACGAGAAAATAATTGAACGGATATAAAACGAATACTCACTGGTGGGCGAATTAAGGTCACGTGATATTTACCTTTTACGCGGATGGCCTTATTCTTAAATAGATATTTTCATTTGAAAGATATAGATTTAACCGTGGCCAAATTTGTATTAGTAAGATGGCCTCGAGTTCTTTTTAAAAAAATTAAAACGATGCTGTACTCTACTACTAGCTGCAGCCAGTACTTATTTATTTCATTTTTCAAAAACACAATAATATTTTGCACTTTAAAAAGCTATTTTATTTTTTTGTAATATTATAGGTAACGATATAGCTTCCAGGGGGCACACTTTTAAAAAATAAAATCATTTTGTCAAAAATGTCAACATTTCTTGTCCTAGAGCTTACCTCGGAAAAGGTATATACAAGTTTTACATATTTACAACAAATAATATTTCGACAACAAAAATATAAAACAAGTTGGTTACGACAACCAATAACAATCAAATTTAAGCAATCTTCATTGGCAAGCCCACTCCGTAAAACACTATACGAGGTCGCGAGGCATGTAGAATCAGCCTACTCATAGACCTGAAGAGTCCTTTCCGTATCCAGGCACAAAAGTCACGTTGATGGCGCATCTGTTCCAATGCTTTTATTGATACACCATCGGGACAAAACAAGACAAATAAAATTCCATACATATACATGTACATTTTAGATGTATAGCTCATAAAAGTCTTAATATGCCTGAGCATGGGAATGAATGCCATTTTCAGGAACATGACCATAAAATTGGTGCCGTTGCTGTTGATAATACATAGAGTAGTCTGATGAATCGTGGGAAGATATAGCAGGTAGTGAATAATTCGTTTGTGTTTGTGGGTAGCTGTTTGATGGTTCCTGAGACTCTATAGGATAATTGGAACCTGTTGTATTATAGCCCCGAGGGTTCTGTCCATAACCAGAGGATGTTTGCGTACTATAGCCGGAGTCATCATCTTTATCGGTCGAGGAACCTTCATCCGTGGATGTTAATGATTCTTCAGAGTCAGCGCTCATTCCGAGTCTCCTTCTTTTGCTTGGATTTTTGTATTCGTCCGGTTGGTCATCATCATTCACGGGAGCGTCAAGAGACTGCAGTAGTGCCGGTCCTGGATACATCTGAGGCGTCGAATTGTTTGGATGGACAGTGACATTCGGTGGGCTATTGGATGACGAATTACTTCTTATCACTTCAAGATTACGTTTAATTCCGTTTTCCATTCCATAATGATATAGACCTTCGCCGCCGTTCGTCATGTTACCCATATCTCCAAAAGGTCGTATTGCTGGATTGGATGAATATTGCATTTGGGGTGCTGAATAAGGAGTAGGGTAGGGACGGGTGGTCATGGGAGGGGCATACGCCATCTGTGGATGGGACACAGGGTAATAGCTACCACGGAACGATTGTTGAACCGGGTAAGAACCGAGATTTCCTGGCGGAGAAGGAGTTAGTCTATCGGTGGTAGTGTTGTAGCTGTCTCGAAATCCTTTGGCGAATGGATTATGATCAATCTTGAGCTGAGTGATCTGAAAAAGCGGAATGTTAATATGTTAAAACTTGTACCTGACTGTGTTTTAATAGTTAATGCCATTCAATAAATATCACATATTTACCTATTGTAATTTCTCAATTCATTTCTAATAATATGTGTTCTAGAAAGAGTGTGAGACAGAAATGGGATTTAACGTCCAGTCGACACAAACTAGGTCATTTCGGGACTAACATATGGTTCAATTTTATTTTGATAATTTGCTTGTTCGCAGGGTCTTTAGTAATGGGAGGAAACCCACGATGTTGGACAGCCGACTCAACCCCTTGTCATGTACAAGCGGGGAATCGAAACCACATAACAGCAAGCAATAGATAATATGGATATACTGGCTGTTTTCTTTGCTTATGCCAATTTTTTAAATTTAATTGATAACCCAAATTGACGTTTAGATGCCGAATAGTTCAGTACCTAAAGTTAACAGATAGAATTTAGATTCTTAAATATGTGAGGAAGAAATAGTCAAAGCAGACATGGCACTTGCTGCGATATTATACATCTCACTTATTTCTGGTCATGGTATTGATTATCAGATTTATCTATGGACGGACACAATTGACCTTGTGCTTTATTAATAAGTGCAGGAGAAGCGCACTACACGCAAACAAAACCCATTAGGAAAACATGTGGACAGGGGGACACACAAACCACACGGACATTACAGACATTAGAAGCCAGGAACAACAATCGTATATGCCAATTCAAGTGAATAGACATGAGAGGGTGGCGGGGGTACTGCGCTGTACAGTCCCGGGCCTGTAATGGTACAGGCTTCATGAAAACCAAACTTATGAAAGGAAACTTAGGAATGAATGCATGTAAAATACTCACATCAGTATTTTGGTAAGCTGTGACTCCGATGAACTGTGTTTCTGTAAAGCTGTGGGTTAGAAGAGTTTTCTGTTCACCCGGTGATCCTACTTCTATGACATGGAGCCGTGGCTGATATTTGTGCATAGAATTCAGAACAATCTGGAAAAGTTAATAATATATCAAAAATATGTAAGGGGTAAGACGGATATTCAATATGGGGGCGGGGCGGGGCCAGGGGTGTAAGAAAAAAAAGCATACTTCTAACTGAAAATTGTTTTAAAAACAAGAGATAGCTTTAAACGTGCTCTGTGAGGTTGTTTCCGCAATAGAGGGGGCTCCCAAGTTTGTCTTTTATTAAAACAGAATATAACATTTTAATATATGAATTTCCAGATATTACAGTTCTTGGTCCATATAAATTGAAGTCTATTTAAAAACTTTAACTCACCATGCCACCATGTCCGTCACTAGAGATTGCAACCACAGTAAACAGGGCTCAAAATTTTATGTCTTTTAAAAAACACCTGATAACATAGGAAATTCCCAATCGTACAGTTATTGGTGAAGATATACTGATGATTTATTTTAAACCTGTAAAAAAATAACTTACCACGCCACCATGTCCATCACTGTTCTTGTTATTGGTGAGTTTGAGTTTACTAAAGACGATATCTTGCTTCATCCAGTGCGATCCAGTATTTGGGGAATCAGGGTGAAGATAAACTCGGCCAGCTGAAATATAAATAAAACGAAATGATGATGATGATGGTCAATAGCTCAGTGATAATGTAACGCCAGATGACAATTTATAAATTATTTCAAAAAATAAAACAGCATTGATTAATATCCGAAGCATTTAATACAAAGACATATAAATTTGAGAATGGCATAATAGTATACGCTTCAGTTTACAACATTTCCGTGATACTTTTACAATAGACTGTAGAATGAAATTCAATTTAATACTAAGTGAACAATGAATTACCCACGGAGAGATATTCAGACCCTTTACGTCAATGCAACAGTGTAACGATATTCAAAATAGACAATTACGATACTCTATTTTCTAATAAAACATAAGGATTTACTCAAGGATTGGTATTAAGACCCTCTTTATTAAAACAACACAGTAATGATATTAAAAACCGACAATTAGTTTATGATATTTTGTTAGAATGGTTATATCAGATATAGGCTATATTTATATATCAAAATTAATGATAAACCATTTCATAACCTATGACATAAGGTTTTCTATTAGTTCTTAGTGGTGAATCTTATTATGTGAACGATGTTCATTATTTCTCTTCCATTGTCAAAGCGACTTAATGACCAGCGTGTTACACTTATACTTAATAAGCTCATAATATCTATACAGCCTTCTTAGCACTTCATTAAGGCCCGGTAACCACAATAATAAGAGCAACTCATTATCGAGTTATGTGGATTATGGGGTTCCCATAAACGATTCACCAGTATTATAATACAACATATTTATCGTGGCCACATGTCTTATAATTACATTCAAAATGTCTAAAAAAAAAAAAAAAAAAGAGCAATGTTGAGAACATTTGTCATTGTAACCCATGCTTAAAACTTATTTCTGCTCGTCGAATCATTGTTGACTAAATCGTAAATGTGATTTGTTTTATTGGGTTCTAAACAGTGGGTTTTTACTTTCCCTGGGATTTAAACCGTGGGTTTTCATTATCGCTGCGCTTGGTTCTAAAGTTCGGGTTTTGACTATCCCTAGATTCAAAACTGCGGCTTTGTCTATATCCAAATTTTATGCTGTGGGGTTTGATTATACTGGGTCATTTGATACACTTCTCAACTGCGGGTTTTGACTATCTCCGAGTTCTATGCTGTGGGTTTTGACTATACTGGGTCATTTGATATACGTCTCAACTTATACGGCATCCCGTGTAATTTGGTATCCCGTATGGTTCGGTACCTTACGTTTTTTCTTAAGTTACTAAATTTAGCTTTGATATTTGCTAAAGTAACATTGTATGCATGTAGAATACATAACACTTAGCTCGATAGTCCTATAATAATAATACGTAAAAGGGAAATGATATCAATGAATACCAAGTGCAATACCGAATGAAAGGTACATTAATAAAGAACAGAATCACATTAAGACATTGGGGCAAAATGGAATCAGCGGGATAAGTCAATGTCGGTTGTTATAAAATAGACACCCTATGAAATTTGAAACCCCCCTAAAATACGTAACCAAAGTACGTGTTGACCCATGTGCAATTTTTCAAAAAGAGAGAATGTCAGGCGCGTGCAGGTTAACTGTTGGATTTAATTGAAAATTGGGTGTTTATTCCTTAATTACACTTAAAGACGGCCCTGACACTGTGGATCGTCTTAGATCTTAAGTACAATTTACTGTCCGAATTCCAAAGAACGCTGTCATTAGAAAAGACTTCTTTTATGTAATATGTACAGAAGTGTCGTCAGCGTCACAACAAAACCAGCTGGAATTCGTACCTCGTGCTGTGTCACAAGACATCAGTATAAAGACCCGATGATCTGCCGTTTAGAAAGGCGTGAACAACAAATGAGCAAGCTGCTAATAGTTGCCTATTGTTGGACATTTCATTGTTTACAGGAATCTTTACATTGTCATAGTATTCAAAGCGACCAAAAGGTCACAGATGAAATGTATGATCATGCACCTGAGGAACCACAATATTAAACGTATATTAAATAGACCATGACATTGGGCGTGGCTTTAAAAATACATCCTTGTAGTTAAATTCAAACGGACATTATTTCAATGATTCTCGGTACCTGTGTTTAGATGGGACAAATTTTAAAAACATCTTGTCTGTGATGTTCAATACAATTTTAATAAGTTTGATTTTCGTGTACGTTTATAGATATATTTATTTTTTTTAAATATTCAACGAACATTTTTTAATTTATTATCAGGAGCTATGTTTGGAACATAAACATTATCACGATTCTAATCTGACTATTCAATTTTATTACCCAATACGTTATTCATTATCACATATATAGTTTACATTATGGGACGAAAACACAGGGACCCGTGTACACATTGACGTGCACATAAAAGAACTATTGACAGTTTGAATTCGATATAAGAGTAGGCCGTAGCGCCGCTGTCCGGGCCAAAGTTCTCTCATAGCACACTGCCTGGCGTATTCCCGCCTTCATTAGCCAGACGGAGCAGAACAGCAGGAGGTTACCCCCCACCCCATTTTATTTCAATTTAACTTACATGAAGTATTTATAGATTTTTCAAAAGTAAAACATCAGTATGACTATAGCAGAAGATCGTTAGTTTATTTATTGTATCACGAATTGTAAACAATAGCCTACAATACATAGGTATATGAATAAAAACTTTCTAGAAACTATAGGCCAAAACCTATTATTACAACCATTATAAAACGTTCTTCAAGCATGTCTCTAAAATTAGGATAAAAGTTTATCTTTGGAATAAAATTTCCTCTTTTAAAGTTTAAAATTAGAATACAGATTTAACCGAGTACTAATTAATTATAATCTCCCCCCGCCCGCCGGCCTTTTCCATAATTCAGTACAAAAACGCAATCTGTGAAATACATATTATTGCTGTTAATTATGTTACTACATGTACCTAAGGTCAGGTGAATTATTCATTCCAAATCTAGACAAGGCTAAGTGTTACTTGGCAACAAAACAAACTAGGAAAACGCTCGCGTACCGGTACCCTATTGTTAGAACTTATAATTATTAAGTTCAAGGAAGGACTCTGCATAGTTTGCGGTGATGATTTTGTCGCGTATTCCTTTCATTTTATTTTTACTTGAAGTGTACACATGAAGAAAAATACATCATTCAAAATCTTAACATAGGAGTAACGGATGGGAGAGCGCCGACATTGTTATATCATAGAAAAAAGCCCCCTTTGATCATTATGCTTCTTTTTTAAAGGATATTTGACCATGTCGAGATGTTTTAATGTCGACATTCATAAGGCGACAACCCGACATCACCAGATTTTAACCCGACAATACAACATTCTTACCCGACACCACGACATTAAAAACATTATTACGGTAAAACATTATTACGTCCTATAAAACACAGCCCCAACGAAAAATTATACAATTTCGGTTTCATGTAAGAATAATTTGGACAATTCAGCTTCTAATTTCGTGATAATGGAGACAAAATGTGAACAATTTACATGCTAACTGAACCCGTTGCAAAATTGAGACACTGTGGGTCATTGTTTCGTCCGATCTTTCCGGAGTGAATGTAGTTTATATTTGTATTTACCTGTTTAAACCTTAGAAATAGACTTCAAATAAAATAACTAATCACGTCATTGTAATCAACGTTTTTTCTTATTCAAAAATGTGAGAAAACCCCCATAAAACAATATTATTTCATATCTCAAAGTTTGTACAGCACGAGAACAGCTGATTTTACTTTACTTACTTTGAGGTAGTTGTTCAGCTTGACCACACGGTACCCATCGACCACTCTGGAACTTCCAATGATTAGGGTCGGCCAGAATCATATCAACAAAGACGTTATACTGCTTGCCAGGTTCTAGCCCAGTTAAACTGTACTGTAAAGTCGGGAACATTCGTCTGAAATATGTAAAGAAAACTTTTGATTTACGGAAATAAACAATTGGATGAAAATTAAACTGCCGAAAAATTTGAAATTTTGCATTTTAGCAAAACGAAAATATTATTTAGGGAAACGAGCATTTCAGTTTAGTCATACGAACATTTCAGTTTAGTCATACAAACATTTCAGTGTATAATAGAAATATGAAATTTATGCTTTTAGCCATTGTAACGGAAAACTATCTTATTTTAATGCAAATGTTTGCTTCTGGTTCGTGTAGCTATTTCGCCGTTGCAAAAGCTTTTAGTGCGACGGAACAAATAAACGAATAATTAAAGAATGCCAATGTTCAGAATCGCACATGATAATCGCATGAATGTAACCTTATAGCAATAAATAATCAATGATTAAGAACGATGTTATACAAGGTTTGAGTTAAATTGAGCAAATAGTCAAACATTTAAACCGAATGGTTATGTCCAGAAAAATGCGAAATCAAATGAACGGATATTATATATGTTTGCTTTCGTTCGTATTTAAGTTGATCATTGAAAGTTAAAGTGATAATATTTATTATAGTTATTTATTTTTAACAGAAGCCAACCCATACTTAGACGTATCTTGCTATTACTTTCTTAAATATATAACAACAATGTTTATATTAAAACAGAACAGTTGTTTTAATTTTGAGACATACACTGTATGTGAATAATTCAACTGTGGTTACTAATCGGGATGTTTTATTCGAATTTTAGAATGCTGTGTAATTAAATATTCTGAAAATTGTTCTAAAATTTTTTATATAGTTATCAAAATATAGAAATAGATTTTAATTTGTTTTTAGAATTGTTTTGTTCTATTTATTTAAATTATCAATATATAGAAAAAGATTAAATTTTTCATTTTCATAACAAAATACAACACAATGTATATATGGATTTAACTACATACTTCATATGTTCTATATTTATGTAATTATGTATGTATGTATATACTTTTATAACGTGTACATGTATCTAAATCAGAGAGAGGGGTTACACATAGGCATAGCCTGTTCCCCAATCCAAATCCAGATTTAATGAATAAAAATATTGTTTAGAAAAAAAAACCCACTACTTCTCTGTTATTCAAAAACGTTTCGTAACACGAACAGGTCACGTGTTTAGTATAATGTCAAATAAATTTGTTTTGAGAAATAGAGTTAATATTAATAAAAATTAAACTGTATGGTTTCTAGGCAACAAAACCGGATGGTGATGTATAATTATCAATATAAAGAAACAAATTTAATTTGTTTTAAAATAATTGTTCAGTTCTATTTATTTATTTGATCATTACTATATAGAAATAGAGTTAAATTAATAAGAAAATAATTGCGTTGTTTCTAGGCAACAAACCCGGATGGTGGTGTGTATGCTATACGTGAATCTATTCAAACAACTTAATCGTTTCGATTCAGAGCAACAGGCTTCATTCAGAGAATTTATTTATTATCCAAAACAAAAATGCAATCCAAATCACCAAACAAGAATTCAAAACAGGGAATAATAAATACAAATCTCAAACTAAATTCAGATTCATTTCAAACAAAAACATGGTTATAACGAAAACGTTATTTTATCAAGTGAAAAATCTCACATATATCTATTTCCATCTTTGAAACAGACTATGAGTAGAATTGACAAATTAAAGTTTTTCTAATGTCCAACAGGGCGAAGTGGTAATTTGCAGTACTATTGTCAAGGTAGGGCGAGGTAAATTCACCAAGGTTTAGAGATACATATTTTTAACTTATTCTAAACCTAAAACGTAGTTTGGAATAGTAAATCAATGGCAAAAACATGAATATTCATAGGATATTGTATTCAACGGGATAACACTTGTGAACAAAACTTAGAACGGAGTCTTAAATTATAGAAAAATTTAATGCGTGTATCTATTGTTTCCACACTTCTTAATCAAAATTGCTACATGACTACTATAAAAATCCAACACAAACGAATTTCAAATACTTTTTGTCTGAAAATGATGAATATTATGAAAAATACACAGTAAATGACTATTTCTTTTTATAAGTCGTATAGTCCTTTCCTGCGGTTTTCATGTATTCTTTTAAAATCAAGTATTATAAAAAAAATAATAGCAATTAAGAAAGATACACAATAAATAACTATTTCTCTTCATAAGTTGTATTGGGTTTTCTTAGTTTTTCATGTTTTGTTTTAAAATCTTTCATCTTTAACTGGGTCCAATGATTGTTCAAATTGGTGAAAGGGAAACCGCGAAATCTTATCTAAATATTACGAAAAATAAGTGATAACTAGTTAATTTAAGAAGAAAAAATATTAATTGAATGATAAAAATATAACCGCTGTGAAAACTTTTAACACCTGATTTGTTGTTTTAAAAACAATGTACATAAAACCTTTATTGTTTTTCGTTAACTTTCCGTATCAATATAGTTCATATCGTCGAAATCACAAATTACACACTTCCATAATTTTGCGGTGTTTTATCAAACTAATTGAAAAATATCACCAATTAAGATAATCTCACTGACTTTTCACTCAAACTTTCTGGCCATTAATCAAATTCGACTTAAGATTCGTAATTTCTTTTTATTAATCGTTTATTCAAATACTCTGATACTGACCAGAACTACGATTAGCTATGTCACTATAAATTAATTGTGTTATAAATTCTACAATGTTTGTTTGTTTTTTAAAGTTAGTTTTTATGTTTACAGTTAAACTCTTAACAGCTCTGTTCTATTCATATTTGAATGAATTATAAATTTGTTACATGCCTTAAAAAATTATTAACCAAGTGCTGTCTAATATAATATCAACTGGCTTCACTTGACAAGGGAAATATCAGAAATATTAGATATTCACTAATATTTTTTATGAGTTTCCGTGAGATGAAGAAAGAAAGTTACATAAATAAAACCGTTTTAATATGAATAAAATTTTATTGTATTTAACCCATACTTATTTTTGAAGATATTTGTAAGAATTCAAAACATTAATAGATTTTTAAACTGAGCTTTGGTGTAATTAGAAAACAAAATAAAACAATTATCCGGCAGAAGTAGATGTAGACCGGGTTTAAAAGGAATTTGTATTTTTTCTTGATCTTCTTGCTTACATTTGTAAATAAGCCTGTGCTTATATTCTTAAAACTCGTCTTACAAAAACCTCGAATTGTGTGTATTACTAGCAGGTTAATTTATAAAAATGATCAAATATATGATTAGTTTCATATTAACACATCTTTACTACTTCTTGGTTTATTACATACAACGTTTCAATAATGTTACAGGTATTTTTTTTTATCAAGCATTGATCAAAATGAAACGTTGCAAGTAATAAACTAAGAAGCAGGAAATCCATAAAGTTGTGTTATTATGAAAAGCATACCTCTACTTCTAAATGCTAAATGTCATTTAATGATATATGATTAGTTGCTTAACAGAAGCTTTAAATTATATTAAATATAAAGCCTAAACTTGCATTTCTTAACAACAGTTTCTGACTACGTGGTGATGGAAATAAACTACTCCTGTCTATAACGCCGGGTTTCGAAAATTATAGAGCAGGAATCGGAAGGTTCTATTTAGATGTATAAATCTACCACGGTTCAAATCATGAAAAATGGCCTAGACTAAAAACGAAAAACTAAATAAAAATTCATGCTTACCGGCCTTGTTTGGTGATGATCATTTCACAAGTATGTTGATGGAATTTCAGCCAAAGTTCTCTGTTGCACAAGTAGACACAAACCTTTCCTCCATAACCATGACCGGTTCGAGCCGCGGGAACAGGAGGGGAACACTGGATGGGGGCGGGCGCGGGAGGTGCCTCGGGGGTGGGGTAATAGGGTATATGTTCTGTAGCTAAAGGGTATTCGGGATAGATTTTGGGGTAAGAGAGAGGATGATATTGAGATTTCCTTTGACAATATTCGTAGCCATCTTCACTGTAAGCTTCGTTATTTTGTACAGGCTGCAAGGCGGTGTACTGTGTCGTTGACGATTCTGCAAAACAACAAACGAATTCATTTACAACTAACAGAATATAATAAAACAACTGAAAATTAGTTTAAATTATTAAAATATTACATAAACTAGATCTCGAGGAGAGAAAACCCACTTAAAGACTTCAAATTTACCCATATCTATAATTTCCAGACATTATGCATCATAATAACATTATTGAGCAAATGCGAGAACCACAAAATATCATGTTGTCTACAGTCGTTAGGAATTCACATATTATACAAAACTCCAGTAAAATTTCGATTTATTCTCTGAGAATTGAGTAGCATTAATGACTCATTCACAAATGACATCTAAAGCCACACCAATTTGATTTTCTGTTCTTCGGGAACATCTTTTTTATTTTTTTCTGGGGGAAAACTTATTTAAATCCAAAAGTACTTGATTGAATTATTCAAGCTTTTTTTTGAGTTCCAAATGCTAATGATTTGACATTTTAAACAAAAGATATTTCACATAATTCATATCGATATTCATTTATCAAGATCCCGAAAAACAGAAATTCAAATTGGTGTTGCCTCAAATTGACGAGTTCAGTGATAATCAATGGCATCAAACACTCAAAAATAAAACAAAACTTACCAGATGATGGAAAGCTTTCAACATTTTCAGGAACTTCAGTGTTTTCATTTCGAGTAGCTGCATCGGGACTGATATGTCCATAACCATGTGCAGCAGCAGTTGGCTCGGACCCGTATTCGCAATAATAGTTTTTCAAACGAAAATGCGAAGAGTATGTTGTTCGTTCTTCACCGTTGTTGGCATCAGGTGTGTTGTAAGTCGATTCATGTCCTTCGCCGTTGTGATAATCTTGGTATGTACCAGCATCGCAGGCAACGACACCCGAACTACTTAGCATCTTAATAAAATTGTAGATTATATCTCTCGTAAAAAGAAAATGTGATAAACGAACTCAAAGGTGAGGACGATTGTGCCCAAGTAAAAGGTGCAAATTTCGCTCTTCAAACTCCTGTTCTGGCTTCGTTACTCGCTAACAACTAAATATTTCTCACGTATGGCCCTGTGAGAAGTTTAGTGAGATTACTCAATCCAAACCCGACCTGTTAAAAACTAGTAGTTAGCGCGTATATTGTTCACGAAAAAATGTTCACATAAGTAAAAGTAACTGCTCGGTCCAAGGCTCGCAACAAATTAACGACTTCAATGAGCTCGCTACAAATATATATGCCAATTGTTAATTAGACAGCCCACTGATTGGAATTTAACATCGATCACATCATCATGCCAATTAAGTACCGCGCTCTCTCATTGGTCGCATTCGCTACGATCGCCCATACTCGCATCTTGCTCAGCAAATGAACGAGCTTGTCACGCATTAATTAAAGGTGTGAACAGCCAGAACTCTGAAGCCTTATGGGGCAGATAACGACAGACCGGTGTTCAAATTAAACTTGGCACCCAATTGAACAGGTTTTTTTTCAATCATGCCTCATCATATTATGACAAGTAAGCTTAGACACTCTGATTTGATCTATAAGAAATGAAATGGGGTTCAACGTCCCACTTTTCAGCTCCGACTGGGATAATGAAGACTTAGCTTCCGAGATATACGAAAAGAAATAAGTGTGGTGTGAATTTGAGTTTTGGGTTTTGTCTTTCAAACCAAAATGAAAAATTTCTAAATAAAGAGAAAATTGCACTCAGATTAAAAAACAAAACAACCCACAAACAACAGAAATAATTTATAGCAACGACATTTTTTTTATAATTAAGAATTACGCTACAACAGTTATTAAGAATATAAGTTTCTGCTGGCCAAGGTATATTTTAGTAAAATAAATAGTGAGGTAAATGTCCCACTGTTTTGTAAAAACAAAGAAATGAAATGAAATGGTATTTAGTGTCCTACTGTTCTGCTCCTATACTGGGCTAATGATGACGAGCATACGCCATACAGTGTGCTATGAGCGAAATTGTGCCCGGGTAGCGCCTCTATGACCTACTCTTATATCGAATTCCAAGTTTAACATCCACAAACAAGGTCGTTTCGGGACTAACATATGGTTAAATTTTATTTCAATAATTCAGTTGCACGTAGAGGCCCTTAGCAGGGGTTTAACGTCCACTCGACGCAAATTAGGTCATTTCGGGACTAATTATTTCCATTTTATTTCAATAATTCGCTTGCACGTAGGGACTTTAGGAGTAGGAGGAAACCGGAGGACCCGGAGAAAACCCACGAGGTTGGACAGCCGACACTAATCCTTGTCACGAACAAGCGGGAGAACGAAACCACGACACGTGACTCAATGACAGACCTTATGGTCAAGCATTAACCATTCCCCGACCCACGCAAAAAATATGACTGGCGCGCTAATTTATCAAGTAGTCCTGCAGCCAAAATTTCAAGCTTGCTTAAATGTTTGCAAGAACTCGATTGTAGTGGAACTTTATGCTAGAAAGTTTGGCTGTATATAGCATCTACTAATACGACTCATTATAAAACAGCTGGCAAGCAAGGGTTCTATCCTGATTACGTGAAACGGAAGTCCGGGGTTCGTTCGAGCAAAACTAAAATAGTTTTATTTTTCCCTAGTAAATTAACCTCGTATACCAATAATTACTTTTCCTGTATATTGTCTTTATTAAACACGATTGTTTTTATAGAACCAATTCACAGATTTTTTTACAATACAAGTTTTATTAGGTTAGAACACGACTACATTTTAAATAACAAAATTTAATAGGTCTAGAACACGACTACTTTTTAAAATGACAATTTTGATTAGATCTAGAAAACGGCTTTTTAAAAAACAAAAAACAAAACTATTTCAAATATTGGGAACAATTTCAAATTTCAAAATCCTTTTTTTTATTTATGAACTATCTTTTGGCTCGCTTATAGCGCCTGAAATATCGAGAAAATACATGCGAGTTCTCATCAGTTACTAAATACCAGGGAGGTCGTGACATAGGGTTCTGAAGGCATATGCTACCATCTAAGAACATACTTTCTGTCCATGAATTTGTAGCTTGCCTTAATTGTATTTCAAATAAGAATGTCAAACATTTTTGTTAATTGCAAAAAAAAAACCCAAAAAACCGGACCTAATTTGTACAGGAACCCGTCTTCATTATCCCGATTGGAAAATCGAGTAGAGGTGGGAACAAATCGCCTGACCTCGAGTCCGAATTGAGTCCGAGTCGAGTCTCAAGCCGCCTCACCTCGAGTGCGAGTCGAGTTCCAAGTCGCCGACACAAGTCTTCACAAAGCTCAAGCCCTGTTCAAGTCGTCAGTTCATCAAATGATTCAGCGATTTCATGACGAATAAGTGAAGTTAGAGTTATGTTCCCTAATGGTAGGTTCCCATTATCACGATTAGTGCTACGATTGAAATCGTGATTTTAATCGTGAAGTAATCATGGTGATCCTATCAGGTCTTATATATTGAGGTCAGTCGTACCAATCGTGTTGACCGCATCGAAACGTACCCGAACGTATCTGCACGTACCTGCTCGTGGACTCAATAGATACACTCCTATCATAACACATCGCACGACAGTGAGATCATGGAACAACCCTGATTCGAGAGAGAGAAATGGGGTTTTAACTTCCACTTTTCACAAACTAGGTCATTTCAGGGCTAACATATATTTCCTTTTATTGCAATGATTGGCTTTGGCGTATGGGTCTTTAGCTGTGGGAGGAAACCGAAGGACTTGGGAGAAAATCCACGTGGATGGACAGGCGACCCTACTGAACCATCCCACTTGACTCAATGAAACATTATAACAGTCTAACCGAGTACGTTTTCTACGACTGGCTTTTTACCGGATGAAACATTATAACAATCTAACCGAGTACGTTTTCTACGACTGGCTTTTTACCGGATGAAACATTATAACAGTCTAACCGAGTACGTTTTCTCGGACTGAACTTTTTACCGGATAAAACATTATAACCGTCTAAGGTGAACGTTTGCCCAACTGGGCTTTTTAAGGGATAAAACATAACCATCTAAATAAGTACATTTTCGCTTACTGAGCTTTTTACCGGATGAAACATTATAACCGTCTACCGAGAACGTTTTCTCCAACTTGCAACGGATTCTGATAGTTTCAAGTTGAAGCTTAAAATCAGATCATACACATGCATGGTAGAGGCCCATTGTGTTGGACAAAATTTGTGAACTACAAACACCTACCAAATGGGGAAAACAGCATTTAAATTGATTGAAAAATAAAAAGTTTTCTATGATGTCCAATACTGATCTATTTTCGTGTATGACGCCACTTCCTGCTACCATTTTTAAAGTTTTAGTTATTCATTCGGCTTTTGAACTAAATACCTTTCATCTCGAGACCTTCTACAAAATTTGGCATGACCCCTATACGCTTACGTAGCTTTCAGATAGTATAGAGTTTAATTCTGTAGAATGTGTATTTTTTCCTAAAAAGAGTAAAAAAAAAAAATAATAAAAAAATAAATAAATAAAAATCCGAGCAAAAACAATAGTTTTTACCAAATAAAACCTATAACACACTAATTTAACAGTAATTTTCGATAAAATGAATGCAGATACTGTTCTTTAGTCAACCCAAAAGTTCCACAAAATATTAATGTAGTATTGAATTTGTTTATCGCGTGCTTCACGTGACAAATTGGTTTAAGTGTGCAATAATAGTACACCAAAGTATGCCGACACCGGAAGACGACGTCACATAACGACACGTTCTTCACAGTTTGCATTATAT